TGTTGACGTGTGTCAGGAGCTGCTCGGGTTACTTGGCCTGTTGCACATGTCGACCTGTGCACAGAATAGAAGATAAGATGTGACAGAGAGTTACTAGATAGATAAAATAGATAAGATAGATTAGATCGATAGATGATTAGATAATAGATAGATAGCTGCTAGAAGATGATGGATTGACATACTGGTTCACTCCATTAGTTTCAGCTTTGCCGTTCCTGGCATGGGTTGACGTCGCCTGGCATGTTTGATTATATGAGATAGATAGATTAGATAGATAGATAGATAGATAGATAGATAGATTGATTGATAGATAGATAGATTGACATATTTGGTTCACTCCATTCAGTTTCAGCTTTGCCGTCTCCCTGGCATGTTTTGACGTCGGCTTGGCATGTTTGATATACCGGCCTGTTTGACGTGTGTCAGACTGCTCGGTGTAGCTTGGCCTGTTTGCAACATGTTCGACGTGCACAGAATAGATAGATAGATAGATTGTTACATAGATGTTACATAGATAGATAAATAGATAGATAGATAGATAGAGAGATAGATAGATTGACATACTTGGTTCACTCCATTCAGTTTCAGCTTTGCCGTCGAACCTGGCATGTTTTGACGTCGGCCTGGCATGTTTGATATACATTGCGTACGCCATTCAGTGTCAGCTTTGCCACGGATAATCTGCTACTCTCATTCACTCTGCCGGTGCTTCCGATATCTTCAATCGGTTGCTCTCGTGTGCATGTCCGTGCAACTTCCGGTGTAGCAGATGTCTCCGCTTTGACTCGTCTTCTCGAATCGGATTGGATGTCCTGCGCTGACCGGTTTGTGGCCTTCAGGCGGCCTGTTTGACGTGCGTCAGACTGCTCCAGTCAGTTTCAGCTTTGCCGTCTCCCTGGCATGTTTTGACGTCGGCCTGGCATGTTTGATATACCGGCCTGTTTGACGTGTGTCAGACTGCTCGGTGTAGCTTGGCCTGTTTGCAACATGTTTGACGTGCACAGATTAGAACCCTGCGCACCTGCCGAGCCCTGCGGTTGACATGATGAGGCATTGGAATTGCTTCGGTGTGTCTCTTTGCATATTGTATTTATTGGACAGTTCGATTCGACAGTGTTGCTTCACTTGTTGTCATGTTTGGATATGTTTTGGTTGCAGCCTTATTACTTATTGCCTTTGTGAAACATATATGAAACAATTAAAGGACGGAAACAAGTAAGAAAGGTTGTCACAGCAGCTGTTCCGCGGAACAATTTTGGAAATTTTCCGGTACTCGAAGCTACTTGCCGATTGTGCTTGGAAGGTTTCAAAACAATTCAAAGTTGTATCTCACAGCTATCCACGTACGGAAACAAGGAAAATAGTTTCAAGACATTCAACGTCGGGAAACAATTAAAAAGAAGCCATGTTTTGGCAAGAAAGCAATATGTCACGCTGAATTTGCTGTAGCTAACCATGCCTGTGCAAAGCCATTATGGTGGTTGGCGTGCGCGTAAGAAGCATGCTGGTCAATGGTTTCGCGGCCCGGTGCGCCAAAGCGCGCATGTGGCCGAAGAGGATCAGCGAAAGTTGGATGCAGCAGCAGCCGTGTCACTGGAAGCGCTGCAAGAGGCACAGCGGAAATTGACAGCGACTGACTGTGAAATCAGGCAGGTTGCAGTCGAAAGACGGAGCACTGGTTGGCGTGTCCGGTGTGGAACCAAAGAGAACCGGCGCTATGGCCTCACCAGAAGAGACAAATCTGCTGCTGAGGACGATGCCCGTCGTGTGGCGGATGCATTGCAGGTGTCCCAGCAGGAAGTGGATCGCGTTTTGCGACAATTGACTGAAGACGGGAGTGGATTGTCAGACGATTTCCCATTGCAGCATTTGAAGGTCTGCCTGGGTCAGCTGAACCCTCCTGCTTTGCCACGCAGACAGCGTGAAAGATACAGAAGCGAGGCGAGCAAGCGTGAAAATGCTGGTGTCATGCGTGCGTGCGAGCTGCTAGTGTCTGAATATCAGTTGGCAGAGAGCCTCGCTTCGAGAATCGATGCGCGTTGGTTGCGCGACATGGGCCGGCAGTGGCGCTTGGATTCGGGCAGCCGTCCGCTGGGTACCAGCGGCTTCGACCATGCTGCTCCCATCAGTGGATTGAGAAATTTGGGGAACAGCTGTTGGCTCAACTCAATTTTGCAATGTTTTCTCCATTGCGGCCCGTTGGCTAGAGATCTTTTGGACCAGACGTGTGAGAAAGGTCCGCTGAGGCACTGGATGACAGCGACGCTGGTCAAGTTACGCAGCAGAGATTTTGATTATGTGGCTCCTTTTGAATTGCTGCATCAAATGTACTTGACCCGGGCGGATCTCTTCCCTGCGGGTGAGAGCGCTGACGCGGCTGATGCGGTGGCACTGTTGCTGGAGAAGACGTTGTCCCAGCATTCCCTGGTGGCGCCAAGGGGCACAGACACAGGACATGGAGTCAAGGGTATGGGATCAAGGGGACATGATGTAGGATTTTGGCATCAAAAGATAACGGTTTGCTGTTACAAAGTGAAGACCGCCCCCGGAGAAAATACAGACTGTTCCCTGGCATGTTTCTTTGTTTCGTGGATGAGTTTTGTTAGTACATAAATACTGCCCCCGCAGAATTTAAAAACTGCTCTCTGAAATGGGTGTGTTGTGAAGGACAGCCAGAAGAGCAGCTCCGGTTTATGGTGGATTTGCCTGGGGATGTGTCCGAACGAGCTGTCACTGTGGAGGAGGTGATGCAGAAAAATTTAGGACACGGCAGCTGGCCAACAGCAGAGGTTGTGATCCTACAATTGCATCAATTTCCTGGAGCTTCTATGAATTGGTCCCAATTGCTTATTTCTCCAGTCGTTCTTCAGGCGTGTGTGCGTGGAAATGATTCAGGTTCATGTTTGTTGAGGTTCGTGTTTGGATGTACTTAGAGATGCTTAATCTCGTTGGTTCACGTTTGGATGTACCTGTTGAAGTTCCCTTCGGAATGTTTTTATTTGAACGCTGGTGCGGGGATCGAAGTACTTGGTGTCCGGCTTTGTACAACATGTGAATGGACACTTCATTGCCTTCGTGCGATGCGGTGGACGATGGTGGAAATGCGATGATTCCATTGTCACTGGTCCTGCTGATGTGTCCAGGATTTGGCCAACTTTGATTTTTTTTTGGAAAAGTATCGAAGACGAAGTCTTTTGGCACCGCTTGTTTTGACGCCGGCAGGCAATATTGCACGACTACGATGTTTGCCCTCGCATTTGTCACGGGCTGTCTTGGAGGCAGCTCGTGCTACAAAATCTGGACATGATGAGCCTTGCCGAAGTGCTGAATCACATCGTTGCCTGGATCACATGGGCTATGTGGGCCGTTTTGCTTTGGGCGAACGATTGCGCCGACAGGAACGCCAAAGGCGTCGCAAACGGAAACTTTCTGCAGATGGCGCTTTGCCGGAGAGGGTGGCCAAGAGACGCAAGAGAGATGCGAGGAAACGAACTGGGAGAAAGCAGCAACAACAACGTACTGGGAGAAAGCAGCAACAACAACGTACTGGGAGAACGCAACAGCGTAGTGGGAGAACGCAACAGCGGAGTGGAATAACGCAACAGCGTACTGGAAGAAAGCAACAGTGTCTTGACAGCCGCAGGCGGCAAAGAACTGCTTTTGGTAGTGCTGGCGCTGGAAACATGGATGGTAGCAGACAGGACCCTTGGGCAGAGGAAGATCACCCATTCAATCGCTTCAAGGCCAACCATGGACTTTTCCGAGCCGCAGTGGAGGAACAACTGCGCGAATGGCCGGAAATGGCCGTGAGCATGTCCCAGCAGCCTTGCTTGTTGTGCGAAGCTGATTTTGGTGATCGTTCTGCACTGTTACAACATATTGACGACAAACATGGCGGCTTGCAGCGGTATAGACATGCTATGCTCATGTTGGAATCTTTGTCTCCTCACGTGGTTGTTGGCAGTGAGGTTCGTCAGTATGTTCGCAACTATGCAACCTTTCTGCGAGAGGCCAGAATAGATTGGGACGGCGCGGACGATGTTTCACTTCGTCGCCGCCTGGGCTGTTGCTTTTGTGCCCGATCCTTTTGGAAAGAAGACCTCTTGGAAGTCTTCCTCGCAGGACAGCAATGTTTTATGCTGAATCCTGACGCTGTCTGGCAGTTCTTATCAGTGGAACGCTACAAGCAACGATGGCCTTTGATACCAGAATCAGAATTATTGGCCAGTAGCGTGTCAGTATCCGACAGCTTCGGACAGAAAGTGCAAGTGCTATTGCACAAGCGTCGGGTGGACGGTGACATGGCTTGCGGCAACTGTCCTGCATCTGTTTGTCGAGATTGTTATTATGCATTTTCCCCAAAGCAACCCAAGCTGTGCAAGTTTTCGCTGGCCAACGATCTTTGGCTTGGGCGGCCTGATCCACTTCTTTCGCAGGCCAACATGACCCACGAGATGTGCCTTGCTCTAGCCAGAACTGTGGCGACCAAAGTTGTCCTCCGAGCTGGCGGAGCACAGCAGAACGGTTCCAGCAATGGCAATCAGTGGGATGCTGCTTTTCACCAGAGTGGTTATGTCGGATCATCTGTCTTGTTTCACAATGGAGATGCCAGGCATGCAGTGGAATCTTTGCCTCCTCGGCAGCTCAACGACGCTATGGCTATCACCTTCTGCACAGATTTGCCGCACGAAGGCCAAGAAGCTGGTCGAGCAGCCGTCAGCAAGATTGTGGAGTTGCGGTTGAAGAAGGCTTTGTTTCTTGAGCAAGCTGAAGCGCTTCAGAAAACTAATGGCGTCTATGCTGCCGGCGTGGCTGAAATCAATCGAGAGCTGCTCACGGAATGGTTGCAAGATGCAGAAGAGGCAGTTCCACCGGTGGTTCTGGATTGTGTGGTGACGGTTCCTGTTGGTGAAGATGGCCCTGGCATGATGAGACAAGAAGGGCCGGCGGACGCCACAGCTGAGCACGTGCCGGTGCAGCAAGATGAAACAGTGTTTGCCATGGAATCGGAAGTGAAAGATTTCAATGAAGAAAAAACTGATGTCAGCAGCAAGATTGTGTCCTTGTTAGAGAAAATTGATGAACTCGAATCGGCCGGTGCTCGGTCGGTATCAGTCGAGCTTGCTACATTGATGGGAGAAGATACAACGCTGGTTGATCATCTTGGTCGTCAACGTATCTTGCAACTCTGTGACGAAGTGCAGGAAACCTGTCGGAAACTATCTGCTGCTGATGCGCGCAGGAAGTTGGAGCTGGAGTTGAGAGATGCTGTCATGGGCAGGTCGCGTTGGCTGTTACCGTCCGAAACTTCAAATGAAGAACCGGTTGAGGAAGATGCAGATTCTGGACGTGCTGCGAAGCATTTGTTGGTAGCTCGCGGGAAGAAGCCGCTGAGTTTGTTTGACTGGAAGATTTGGACGATGGCCAAACCGAAGCTTTGGAGATATGGTGACGCTGGCAATTTATTTGATCGTGAGGAAGCACTGTCCACCCGAGAATGGGCGGCGTGTCTTTTGCTCCGAGAGGCACGGGGCGAAGCTTTTGGTTTTGTTGTTTCGTTTGACAAATGGATATGCGTGTATGGTGTCATTGATGCGTCTTGCAAATGTGACACTGTGAAGTATCCGGTAGTTTTATTGCAGGTAATTAACATACCGCTGTCAGAGCACAGTAACAAACAGATGTCGGAGTGGTTGTAGGTGAATTATTGAGGTTTGTGTTTGGGGCGGTGTGCTGTCGACATGGCAGGAGTTGCAGTATGCTGTTGACGGCGATGATGTTGCTCCTGCAATGAGTAACCGTTTCAGTGGTGATTGGATTGCGTTGCACATGATGTCCACTGTTTGTCGCTTGACAGATCAGCGCAATGCTTCATACCAATTTTTGCGGAATGGTGGCATGGCCTTTGCCAAGACTTTGAGTGCTCTGAAAGCAGATGATTTGGCATCTGCGGCACGGGTGGTAGATCCTTCCTCTGGTGATTCTATGCAGCAATTGTTGCAAAACACTAGTGTGCCAAAAACTGTCAAGGATGCTCTGCAAGCGATGCAAAGCGCATCGGCTACGGTTTTGGGTACCGATGGTCATCGCAGGCAGTGCCGGCACGAAGGAGTCGCCTACATGGAGACTTTTGGGCCGCCGCTCAGTTTTTTGACGCCCAATCTGGCGGACACGCAGCATCCATTGCTGCTGGTTGTACAAGGCGAAGAGGTGGATCTTGGGTCCGTGGATCAGGAAATGGACCCCTCTTTGCCGAAGTACAGAGACATGCTGCGAAAGATTGCGCAAGATCCTGTAGCACAAACGGTACAGTTTGAGTTCTTGATGCGATTATTTTTCCAACATGTTTTGAATGTGCGACCAGAAACTTTGGATTGTCGCAGAGGTGGGGTCCGCACGGTCTCGCGGGAATGGTGCAGTGATGGCGCCGCTGCATCTTCTACCGGCGCTGGAATGCTGGGACCGGTGCTTGCCTTCAGAGGTGAAATCGAAGCTCAAGGCCGCGGCTCATTGCATCCACATATTTTGGTTTGGCTTGTATGCGGCCATTTGGAGGTGGTAGGCCAACTTGCCAGCATGTTGAAGAATAACAAGGCCGAATTGCAGCATCGCTTACGTCACTTCATGAAAATGGTTGTGGCCAGCTTCGAATCGTTGTCCCATGCGTCTGTTCAAGCAGCGCCTCGAATCTTTGATGGCGCCAGCCTTTCGACGCCGGTTTCTGTCACGAAGGTTGCTCGCAACTTGTCCAAGTATGATGGCGGCAGTGACTTGGACTTGTTGCGAGAGATGCTGGAGAGGACTCCGGAGCAAGACGCTTTTTTGGAAGCTGCTCAGGACGATGACTGGCGCCGACCGTTGCTGCAGGTAGAGGAGGCCCCCAATCCAACCAAGAACATTTTCACACAGCCTATCAATGGCTTGCCAGTGGCACAGACGCCTGCATATCGTTTGCGCAGTGTGCTGGTCGAAGGTGCTTCTCCAGAAGAAGAAGCGCGAGCATGGCAGACGGCATTTGCGCAGGCGGCCCTGCGCATAACTTGTACACATGTGTTTGATGTGGTTGGATTTTTCAAAGAGACTAAAATGTCTTGCAGATGTGTAACATGGCGATGTCTGATGTGAAGACAGGCAACGATGTAATTGATGTGTCTGGTCAATTTAATGCGAAATGTTTTTAATTTTACATGTCGACGTGTTGCCTTACTAGACGCTTTGCTTGCCGATGTCATTGATGCGTCTTGCAAATTTGACATGGCGATGTTACAAGTGTTAGAATTCGGCAAGAATTCATGAAAGTGAAGTTGTAGAAAACGAATCTCGCAGGATCTGCACAACCTTCTACCAGCCTTGCTGAGACACGTTTGCAGTGATTCGTGCTTCAAGTATTCGGACAAGAGCTCTACCCAATTTCGTATTTGTCGGCACGGTTTTTACCATGTGGTGCATGTTACAGAAGGTTGCAGAGTCAGACGGAAAGGCAAGGCCCTACGTCCTTGCGTTCATGTCGGTAGTGAATTGGAGGTTGAATATGGAATGGCTGGACGTCTACGCCCAATTCAGCTGAGTCCATTCGAATGTCAGACTTCTTTTGGTGGTCTTGTGGCTGGCCGACACAATCTGGATCTTCAAGACATGAGAAGAGTCTTGGACATGAAGCTGTGGACAGAGCAGGGCGACATTTTGCCGCACGTCGGCTTCACGCAGCAATTGGGTTACATGGCCAAATATGAGTGGGCTGCTGGACAGTATGAAGAACGAGGTGGATCTCCCACTGAGCCAGTATCATGGTTGTGGACTCGTTCGCTGGCCAAAGATTTTCGCAAAGCCTGGCTGGCAGCTCATGAGAAAGCAGTCACTGGGGGAACGGACAAAACAGAAACAGAAGATGATGTTGCCGAGCGCGAGTTTGTTCGCGCGATTCGCTGCGGTGTGAGTGACGCTTTTTCGGATGGAATCAATAGCGGGTTCTACATCAACAGCTACACGACGAAGCCTGGTCCTGGCTTGGCTGGAATGTTAGAGGAGTTGCGCAAAGGCGGGACCAAGATGATGCAAGTCAGGATTGAATTTGGTTTTGGTTGTTCTTCTGTGTTTTTCGCTCGTTTTTTGTTGGTTTCGTTTTGTTGTGTGTTTGTGGAGTGAAACTGTTCGAAGCACAGGCATTGAGCGCTTGGAAATGGAGCGGGAGGAGCGCAACGAGGAGAGGAGCCGTGCAGAACAAGCTGCACAAGATGCAGGTGAACACATTCCCGGACGTCGTGGAGTTATGTTTTCTGAGACGATGAAGACGTTGACCCGCCTGTCGTCTTCCTACAGACGTTGTCATTGGAAGAGCGCGGCTGAATTGATTTTTCCTCTCTTGTACGAACATTTGACGTTTGCGTCGCATCGTACTTGGAAGCTGTTTGTGAAGAAAGCAATTTTTTTCTGTGTTTCTGCTTGGCGAAAACAGTATGGTGACAGTGTGCTCCATTGTGTCGATGCACAGAGCGCCCACAATGATCCTGTGATTTTTCATAGAACAGGTGTGGACGATGTGGTTTTGGCCGGCTGGCGGAAAGTTGCCCGCATTGATGATGAAACCGGCGAGACGTCGTATGTCTACATTGGACCGGGTGGGCAAGCTTGCACGAATTTAGCTGACGCGTTCTTGGAGTTTGAAGCGCAGGCAGCACAGAAGCGCAATTCGCGACAGAGGTTGTCGATTGCAGAGGAGCTTTTGAAGATGCATAGTGTCACCGAAAATGTGGATCGCAGTGGCGACGGTGAGGGTGCTGCCACGAATTTGCGAGCCTTGCAAGCAACTGGTGAGGATGTCGCAGTGACTGCAGGTGTTAGTACCGTCACTCAGCCTCAGTACCTTTCTGTTACTACGAGCAGTTTGGAGGATTATTTGTATCGCGGTGACTCAGAACTGCTGGCAGGAATGAGTTGGGCGACCTATGGCACGTGGGTCTATCGCATCGAGTTGCCTGCTCGTCCGGAGAAGTCGGTCAGAGGCGTCCTGGCACGGTACGTTGATGTTTATTTTGATCCGGCTTACAAGCTCTACAATTCTCATGCTCAGCGGATCTGCTCAGAACCTCGTGTACCAATGTTTGAAGGGTTTACTATGCCACCTCTGACTGTGGACAGCGAGCGGAATGCCATGTACAAGCAGATACAATGCCGGCCAACTCGCATTCTGCCTGTCGCCGGCGAAGAACTGAGCCAGGAGGAGTTGGTGTTGAAAGCTTTTGCTCTTTTTTCATCTCCTACCAAGGGCTCAGCAGGCATGGACAATTCCGTTGCAGCTACGACTGCTTTCACACGAGCTTATCTGGAATGGGAAGAAGACATGACGAAGGAAGCAGCCACGGCTCGTTATCGTTTTGCAGCTCGATTTGAATATCCTTCTCTGTGGGAAACAAAAGAAATGGTTGAGGCTCTTCGATGGAAACTGGAAATGGTCATGGGCGAAGAGTTGCCGCAGCCGATATTAGATCCGGATCGAGAGAGGCCTCGAGCAACTGTTGAGCAATATTCTTCCATGTTGGCAGAGAGTCGAGTTGCGCATTTGGAAGGCTGGGTTGCAAAATCTGATGATCTTTGATTTCTGTCTGTTGCTTTCGCCTGTGTTTGCTGATGTTTATTGTGTTATTGTGTTATTGTTTTTGTGCAGTAGATGTTTGACGAAGAGTAACACTGCTTTAATTCGTTTGTGTTAGACTAGAGCCACATCCGGTAGGTTTGGCTCGGGCCCGGCAACAACGTCACAAGAGAAGTCGGGATGTTGATGCTGAGTTGTTGGAGGAGTTCGTGAAAGTGACCACTGCGGGCGAAAAAGATGACGAAGATGCTGGGGACAATCCTGAGCATGATGAACTGCCTCCAGAAAAAACACTTCGGCCTGATGAAGTCTTTCAGAAGATATCTTTTCGACCGAATATGGAAGAACAGAAGAAACTGCTACTGTTTCAATTTCAAGCTCGACACAATCAATATGTGAAAGATTTCCTTGCACAAAGCTGGATGAAGGAAGATCCTTTTGCCGACGCAGGCAAACTTCAGAATTCAACACGTCACTCGCTGCATGATGTTTTTGCTGAGCTCCAAAGTTGGAATGCAGTGGCTTCGTCTGAGACCAGAACTATTTTTTGGGACTACAAGTTTGTTTTGGTTTCTTTTAAAAAAAGGGGATGGTGTAGAAGGGGTTTGCTTTGAAAAGGTTGGGTTTGAGAAGGGGTGCTTGCATCTCAGGACACACGTGCGGACATTTTGGGATCGTGTCGATATGGTTTGGTGCAAGACGACGAAGACAGAGAGCAGCCTCCCAGTGAAGAAATTGCGCATGCATCTCTCAAGAAAGCTTTGCCACGGTTACCTGCCCAGTGTGTTCGCTTCAGTGCTCAGAATGTCTACGAGAAACCTTCCGATCTTGTGAAAGATCTAGTTGCTGCATTGCCGCCGAAGCAACGACTGAACGAAGATCAGGACTGTTTCATTCAAAGATTTGCGGAGGTGTTGGACACGGTGTACGCACAAGAAGGCACAACTGCCCCAGAGAAGCGGCATGTTTATCACATGCTGTTGCTCGGCCAAGGGGGCTCAGGCAAGACGCACATTGTGCAGAACATTGTATTCCCTGTGGTGCACTTCATTTGGCCTTCGGAGGGAGAACAGTCTACCTTGATGGTTGTTGCTGCCAAAAATGCGCAGGCCAAGAACATTTCCACTGACACTGTCCGCGCCAAGACCTTACACGGCGCATCCTTGCTCGGAGTACAAAGCCTAACCAACAGCAACATGGCTGCTGGCTCCAACGAGAAAGGTTTGCAGAAGCTGTGGAGCTCTGTGCGTGTCTTAGTTGTGGAAGAAATCAGCATGGTCTCGGCTCTTCTTTACAACATGCTAGACTTTCGCGCCATGCTTGGTCGCCGCTTGGTGTTTGGAGTGGATCCAAACACGTATGCCAAGACAGGCTGTGCCTTCGGACGTGTGCCGATTGTTTTGCACTTGGGCGACTTCTTTCAATTGCGACCGACTGCGCAGCTCTCTTTGTTGGATGATTTGATGGCGCAGGATGAGCATGGCAACTGGAAACACGCTGATGTGCCTGCAGAAGTACAGCATGCCCAGAAAGTGTTTGCGGAGATTCCAGATGTTTTTGAGCTGCGCGGCACCATGCGGTTCAAGCCAGGAGATCCTCTGATTGACTTATTGCAATGCATGCGCCAGGGACATCGTCTGCCGGATGCAATTTGGAATGCTTTTCAACAGCGGTGTGCTCGCAACACTACATCCGGGAATGCAGATGAACGATTCAACTTGCCGCGTTTTCGGCGAGGCTACTGCATGTCGATCTACTGGGCGTCGCTGGTGCGGATGATGTACCGTCGAGCTTTGCTGGATGCAGCGCAGGCGGATCAGCCGTTGGTATTGCTGCAAGCTGCTGATAATGCATCGGGTTTGGAAAGGAACGTTGCTTTTCGTTTTTTGAACCGGCCGAACCCGTATCAAACGGGGCATATGCATGGACTATTCCCTTGTCATGTTGGCATGCGGATCCGACTGGTGGCAAAGCTCGATGCAGATAAGGGCATGGTGCAGGACACATTGGCCACGATCATGGACTTTGAATTTCACTCCAACGATCGGGCTCGGTATGGTCAATGCAAAGGCGGCGAGTTGTTTTCTCCGGAGTATCTCCCATCGGGTCTCTGGGTGGCTGTTGATGGATATCAAGGATGCTGTGGCTATGAAGATTTACTTACCCGTTGCACAGCGCATATCGAGAACTTTCAAGAGGCAGAAAGATTAGCGAAAAGTTTTTTGGTTTCTTCCGGCAGAAGAAGTGGTGATTCAACTGAATAGTTCGCAGAAGTATGATGTGCGCCGCTGTGGCTTCCAAATCACGCATGCCAATTTTTTCACGAGCACTGGCTCGCAAGGTCTGACTCTTCGAGAAGGCACCATCATTGACTGTGCGCGTTTACCTGAAATGGATGATGAGAACTGGTGGCTGCATTTATATGTCATGTTCTCCCGTGTGACGACGATGGATGACATGCTACTACTTCGGGCACCGCCCAGAGAGATCTTGGAACTCGGGCCTCCAGCCGCAATTCGAACAAAAGTGGCTCAGTTTCAAGAACGAGCTAACATTTGTCGTGCAGGGGTTGCCGCACGTTCTGGCCACGGAGCTTGATACAAGCGGCTCAGGATTCGTTTCTTTTTGTCCGGACTTTTATATCTTCTGGACTATTGCAAATCTAGCAGTCGTTGAGAAATTCGAGTAGTCGAACGAGGCTTGTCACCAGAGGTACAAAAAATATTATTTTGACTGACACTGATGTAGCATTAGTATGTTGATTGAGCTGTTTGATGTGACTTCTTTCATGATAGCGTTACAAGCCTCCCATTGTTTGCGTTCTTTTGTAAGAGCTTGTCTTCGACGCGACTTATGAAGACATTCTCATGGTGCCTGTAACTTTTTGTGTACGGACGTTGTGGCTAAGTTTCACAGATGAAGCACATATTTCGTAGATTTCCAGATGCTTCAAGCCGCTTGCTGCTTGTGTTGGGAAGTCTGCGAGAAGTACCATAGAAGTAAGCAGTAAGAAAACGTCATGAAAACTTGTTCGGCATTTCTTGTTTCATTGGAGTTACAGGCATCTAGCGTTTTCGCTTGGGCGATGTCTGTGTTCACGAGGCTTGTAACGTTGAAAATGCAACTGTTGTAGAGATGAAAGAATCGATATGAGTAGCTCGCAGTGATTTCCAACTGCTTGAAGCAACTTGCTGTTTTTTGTCTGGAGGTCCCAGGAAAGTATGATTATGTGGAGCTCTTTGATATGGATTGTTCATGACAGCGTTACAAGCCTCCAATTGTTTTCGCTCTTTTGTAAGAGCTTGTCTTCGACGAGACTTATGAAGACATTCTCATGGTGCCTGTAACTTTTTGTGTATGGACGTTGTGGCCAAGTTTCACAGATGAAGCACATACTTCGTAGATTTCCAGATGCTTCAAGCCGCTTGCTGCTTGTGTTGGGAAGTCTGCGAGAAGTACCATAGAAGTAAGCAGTAAGAAAACGTCATGAAAACTTGTTCGGCATTTCTTGTTTCATTGGAGTTACAGGCATCTAGCGTTTTCGCTTGGGCGATGTCTGTGTTCACGAGGCTTGTAACGTTGAAAATGCCACTGTTGTAGAGATGAAAGAATCGATATGAATAGCTCGCAGTGATTTCCAACTGCTTGAAGCAACTTGCTGTTTTTTGTCTGGAGGTCCCGGGAAAGTATGATTATGTGGAGCTGTTTGATATGGATTGTTCATGACAGCGTTACAAGCCTCCAATTGTTTTCGCTCTTTTGTAAGAGCTTGTCTTCGACGAGACTTATGAAGACATTCTCATGGTGCCTGTAACTTTTTGTGTATGGACGTTGTGGCTAAGTTTCACAGATGAAGCACATACTTCGTAGATTTCCAGATGCTTCAAGCCGCTTGCTGCTTGTGTTGGGAAGTCTGCGAGAAGTACCATAGAAGGAAGCAGTAAGAAAACGTCATGAAAACTTGTTCGGCATTACTTGTTTCATTGGAGTTACAGGCATCTAGCGCTTTCGCTTGGGCGATGTCTGTGTCCACGAGGCTTGTAACGTTGAAAATGCCACTGTTGTAGAGATGAAAGAATTGATATGAATAGCTCGCAGTGATTTCCAACTGCTTGAAGCAACTTGCTGTTTTTTGTCTGGAGGTCCCGGGAAATTATGATTATGTGGAGCTGTTTGATATGGATTGTTCATGACAGCGTTACAAGCCTCCAATTGTTTTCGCTCTTTTGTAAGAGCTTGTCTTCGACAAGACATATGAAGACATTCGCATGGTGCCTGTAACTTTTTGTGTATGGACGTTGTGGCTAAGTTTCACAGATGAAGCACATACTTCGTAGATTTCCAGATGCTTCAAGCCGCTTGCTGCTTGTGTTGGGAAGTCTGCGAGAAGTAGCATGCATGTAATCAGTAAGAAAACCTCATGAAAACTTGTTCGGCATTTTTTTTTTCATTGGAGTTACAGGCATCTAGCTTTTTTCGCTTGGATGTTGTCTGTGTTCACGAGGCTTGTAGTGTTGAAAATGCCACTGTTGTAGAAATAATGGGAAGCAACTTGCTGTTTTTTGTCTGGATGTCCCGGGAAAGTATGATTATGTGGAGCTGTTTGATATGGATTGTTCATGACAGCGTTACAAGCCTCCAATTGTTTTCGCTCTCTTGTAAGAGCTTGTCTTCGACGAGACTTATGAAGACATTCTCATGGTGCCTGTAACTTTTTGTGTATGGACGTTGTGGCTAAGTTTCACAGATGAAGCATATACTTCGTAGATTTCCAGATGCTTCAAGCCGCTTGCTGCTTGTGTTGGGAAGTCTGCGAGAAGTAGCATGCATGTAATCAGTAAGAAAACCTCATGAAAACTTGTTCGGATTTTTTTTTCATTGGAGTTACAGGCATCTAGCTTTTTTCGCTTGGACGTTGTCTGTGTTCACGAGGCTTGTAGTGTTGAAAATGCCACTGTTGTAGAAATAATGGGAAGCAACTTGCTGTTTTTTGTCTGGAGGTCCCGGGAAAGTATGATTATGTGGAGCTGTTTGATATGGATTGTTCATGACAGCGTTACAAGCCTCCAATTGTTTTCGCTCTTTTGTAAGAGCTTGTCTTCGACGAGACTTATGAAGACATTCTCATGGTGCCTGTAACTTTTTGTGTATGGACGTTGTGGCTAAGTTTCACAGATGAAGCACATACTTCGTAGATTTCCAGATGCTTCAAGCCGCTTGCTGCTTGTGTTGGGAAGTCTGCGAAAAGTAGCATGCATGTAAGCAGTAAGAAAACGTCATGAAAACTTGTTCGGCATTTCTTGTTTCATTGGAGTTACAGGGATCTAGCTTTTTTCGCTTGGTTCACGAGGCTTGTAGTGTTGAAAATGCCACTGTTGTAGAAATAATGGGAGATAGCTGGAAAATAGCAAACCGATGTAGAAGAAATCATAAGATCAGGACAACGTGTCCAACGGACGTAGGTTTTGTGGCAAACTGACTGGTGACTGCAAACTTGTGAGTCTTGATTCTGATGTTGTTTAGCGGCGTGTCGCCTATGGTTGGCCAGTTGGACACTTTTTGCAGGCTATGGTCCCGCCAATCCTGGCGACATGGCTTATCACGACAAGCGACGAGCTGTGCCTGGGTAGATAAGATGGTATGATTACAATGATGATCAAATTCTGAAACGAATCATTACAATATGGTCTTATCCGGTTATTTTGAAAAGAATCATTCCATTATTTTCATCAGCATCATGGGTAGATAATATGGTATGAGTACAATGATGATCAAATTCTGAAACGAATCATTACAATATGGTCTTATCGGGTTATTCTGAAAAGAATCCTTCCATTATTTTCATCAGCATCATCATCAGCATCCTCATCTTCATCATCATCATCATCATCATCAATAGTATAATAATGAAGATGCTTTTAGAATATGAATGAGCTACATTAAAATAGATGTATTTTTCTTCATCATAAAATTTTGAACTACGCAGCCCTTTGTGCAGCTGTCGACAGAAGAGGTGGCAGAATTGGATACCCAGGTGTAAACCAAAACAGCTATGGGTGATGGTGATGTTCAATTAGTTTTATCAGCCATATATGGTTCGTTTCAGTGAGAGAGTAAGTTTCGCTGATCCAGGGCCGAGCAGTGACCTCTTGCTGTCTGCGGGGTTAGGTGCGCAAATCGATATGCTTTTGAGTATGTCGTGAAGGGTTTCTTTCTCCACCTGTCAAAATTTTTGTATCCTGCAGTCATTTCGTGGCTGGTGTCTAAGCTTCAGGGTAACTGCTTTGTCGCAGCACGCCGTGATGAAATGTGTAACAAATGATTCTTGTTTGTTTTTTTGTGCTTAGATACGTGGCAGGTCTCCGATTGATGACAGTTGACAGAGCCGGGTCCCTAATACTTAGTACCACAGTGCTTTTGTCAAAACTTACTTTACTCATAGCGCAGCGGTGCCATGTGTGAGGTAGGAGACTAGGTTGCAAACGCCGAGCTTGCAGCTTGTGAACTTTTGAGTGATCGCAGCTTTTTAGAACTGGTGTTGGTAACGCTCTCGGTAGTATGGCCGTGTACCAGCCACCGATGACAACCTTCTACTTGGTTTTATTGCCCGAGGCGGGATGGTGAACCGACACTTTGAGTTTAGTAATTCACAGAAGCGTTGGTATGTTGCTGCGTACTTTTGCTCGTAGGTGGAAACATTAGCGCCGGGCCAACCTTTGGGAAGACACATGCAGCCGACGGCATGTGACTACTATTCACTCCGCAGCACAGAAGCAGCGGCCCGTGAACGGTACACCTGGTGGGCAGACGAGCAGAGGCCGGCTTTGTGTATCAATGTTCAAAGCAGTCTGGTTTAAATGATACTAGTCTGTTTCGCCAGGCCGGAAGGGATTATGGTGAGAATTACCCTCACTGCTCACGGACGTGCTGAGCTGCTTCGGGATCGGCAGCTGACAGTTGGCCAAGACAGTGGCCGGCTGTACTGCAGAGTACCTATGGGGACGACCCTCGATGCAAACGGCGCCGAGATCATGATGGTCGAGCGCATCTGAGAGTAGCAATTCGGCTCGATTGAAGTGACATACTGATATTGATGCCGTTAGATATGCTGCTTTTTTAAAGACGCGACACCGGTCATGACGGTGGAACATCTGTGAACACATTGACTTACAAGCTGGTTCGATTTTTTTGCTCGAGCGTCTTGCTCATGTCTAAATGTATATCATGCTTTCTGTGTTTCGAGCAGCCGGCGCCGGGATCATGATGGTGGAGCGTATGTGAGCATAATGATTCGGCTCGATTGAAGTGACGTACTGATGCCGTTGCCGTTCTATATGCGGTTTTTTTTTGAATGCACGCAATACCGGTCATGACAGTGGAAACATGTCAGCACATTGACTTATAGGCTGTATCGGTTGCAATTTCGCAAGCAACATTCCAGGCGGCAATTTCAGCGTCTAACATTCCAAGTATATATAAGAAATGATACTTGGTACAATTGTGGTTTCTGCTTTCCAAGCTGTGCTGATTGGTATGCGGAACAAGCTGTGTGCCAGAAAACAATACCGATGCCACCGTGACATGTGAACAAACGATGATTTGAGTGTGCAGTGCCGCAAGATTTTTCTTCATGTTGCTCCACTCAGGCACTGTGTCTGGCTGATGCTGTGGCTCTGCTATTGTCAGGCAGGTTTTTTTTTCGTTTGAGTGATGTTGGTTTGCGTGATGTTGCTTCCTTAAAAATCTTTTAGGACAGAGCCCTCGGTCAAAGCATTTTCAAAGATCATTCATCTGCTATGACCTAGAGATGTCAGAAATGATGTTGAACGAAGGTCTCAAATACGACGTGCAGCATGTGTGATATTCATTGAGCGGCTCAAACCACAGCTCAAAAGATATCACGCCAAAAGACATGAGAGTGAGTTGGACATAGCAAAATCTCTGCATGGAGGTATCTATTTCTGTTTCGTGTTTCCAGCTGTGAAATTTGGTAGTTGATTTGTTGCGAAGCAATCGCACACCTGGTGCACGCGAAGCTTCTTGCTGACCGTGTCTGGAGGCCCGCATGGCGTCTTTGTGTCACTCCGCCGTGGCAGGTCTCCGATTGATGACAGTTGACAGAGCCGGGTCCCTAATACTTATTACCACAGTGCTTTTGTCAAATCTTACTTTACTCATAGCGCAGCGGTGCCATGTGTGAGGTAGGAGACTAGGTTGCAAACGCCGAGCTTGCAGCTTGTGAACTTTTGAGTGATCGCAGCTTTTTAGAACTGGTGTTGGTAACGCTCTCGGTAGTATGGCCGTGTACCAGCCACCGATGACAACCTTCTACTTGGTTTTATTGCCCGAGGCGGGATGGTGAACCGACACTTTGAGTTTAGTAATTCACAGAAGCGTTGGTATGTTGCTGCGTACTTTTGCTCGTAGGTGGAAACATTAGCGCCGGGCCAACCTTTGGGAAGACACATGCAGCCGACGGCATGTGACTACTATTCACTCCGCAGCACAGAAGCAGCGGCCCGCGAACGGTACACCTGGTGGGCAGACGAGCAGAGGCCGGCTTTGTGTATCAATGTTCAAAGCAGTCTGGTTTAAATGATACTAGTCTGTTTCGCCAGGCCGGAAGGGATTATGGTGAGAATTACCCTCACTGCTCACGGACGTGCTGAGCTGCTTCGGGATCGGCAGCTGACAGTTGGCCAAGACAGTGGCCGGCTGTACTGCAGAGTACATATGGGGACGACCCTCGATGCAAACGGCGCCGAGATCATGATGGTCGAGCGCATCTGAGAGTAGCAATTCGGCTCGATTGAAGTGACATACTGATATTGATGCCGTTAGATATGCTGCTTTTTGAAAGACGCGACACCGGTCATGACGGTGGAACATCTGTGAACACATTGACTTACAAGCTGGTTCGATTTTTTTTGCTCGAGCGTCTTGCTCATGTCTAAATGTATATCATGCTTTCTGTGTTTCGAGCAGCCGGCGCCGGGATCATGATGGTGGAGCGTATGTGAGCATAATGATTCGGCTCGATTGAAGTGACGTACTGATGCCGTTGCCGTTATATATGCTGTTTTTTTTGAATGCACGCAATACCGGTCATGACAGTGGAAACATGTCAGCACATTGACTTATAGGCTGGATCGGTTGCAATTTCGCAAGCAACATTCCAGGCGGCAATTTCAGCGTCTAACATTCCATGTATATATAAGAAATGATACTTGGTACACTTGTGGTTTCTGCTTTTCAAGCTGTGCTGATTGGTATGCGGAACAAGCTGTGTGCCAGAAAACAATACCGATGCCACCGTGACATGTGAACAAACGATGATTTGAGTGTGCAGTGCCGCAAGATTTTTCTTCATGTTGCTCTGCTCAGGCACTGTGTCTGGCTGATGCTGTGGCTCTGCTATTTTCAGGCAGGTTTTTTTCGTTTGAGTGATGTTGGTTTGCGTGATGTTGCTTCCTTAAAATCTTTTATGACAAAGCCCTCGGTCAAAGCATGTGCAAAGATCATTCATCTGCTATGACCTAGAGATGTCAGAAATGATGTTGAACGAAGGTTTCAAATACGACGAGCAGCATGTGTGATATTCATTGAGCGGCTCAAACCACAACTCAAAAGGCATCATACCAAAAGACATGATAGTGAGTTGGAAATCGCTAAATCTCTGTATGGAGTTATCTATTTATGTCTCGTGTTTCCAGCTGTGAAATTTGGTAGTTGATTTGTTGCGAAGCAATCGCACACCTGGTGCACTCGAAGCTTCTTGCTGACTGTGTCTGGAGGCCCGCATGGCGTCTCTGTGCCACTGCGCAGCGCAGCAAGAAGATTTCCATTTGGGGAATGAGAGAAAGAACATGAACAAAACGGATCATTATCGGTTTTTGTATAGCATCAGAGCCGATTGTGTGGAATGCGTTCGGTATTGGTTGCATCTCGGAGCCAAGCTACATCAGGGCACTGAGAACCATCCTGACTGGAATGCAGTAGCATGGGCACAACACTTCAACGCCACGAGGTGCGCTAATGAAGAAGTAGTATTATGCATGTGTTGTATATCTATTGGGATGAGAAAGTGTTAGCGTGAACTGACAGTTAACATGTTCCAAACACCTCACTGCCAGGACATTGCCGATTTTGCAAACGTGGGCAAACTCACATCCATATGCCGAGCAAACGTCTTCGAATGATTTCGCGGCAACTCATAGTGACGTGCCACTGCAACCATCTGCGTCGGCATCGCAGCCTAGGCCTTCCAGGAAAAGGTCTCTCACTGGCTCGAAGAGTGAGCCTGTTACAGCTGAGGCAATGCTATCTGCAAAGCCGTTTGCAAGATTAAAACTGTCGAAAAAGAAAAATGAAGGTGGAAAGGATTCGATGGCTGAGCCGATGATTGACGCACAGTCGGTTGCGCCCTTGCCGCCACCTCCACCCTTGCCGCCGCCGCCGCCGCCTCCCTTGCCACCTGGCAGACCTGCCGGGAAAACACGAATCTCGCATCCCATGGATGATGCTGCGCCAGCTGCATTCAATGTTTTTCAGAAGCGTGCTTTCACAGAAATTATGCGCGCGAATCATTTTGAGAATGCAGCTGCAGCGGAAACATGGATAGCTGGGATGCACGGTCAAGTTACAGATTTGGACTGTTTGGAAACTTTGGAGATACTCACAAGCAAACACTACGATTCTGCTTTCAAACTAACAGTGACATTTCCAACGGCTTCAATGGCAACATGGCATTTTCGCGAATATTTGCTTTGCAAGATTGACCGCCAATCCGTACAAGAACGGGACGCATCTTTGGAAGCCAGTTTGGTGCAGCTTCACGCAAGAGAAGAACATTGCGTACAAGAATTCTGGGCTAATTTAGAGGATTCCAGTCCAGAAGTTTTTGCAGCAGAGACAGTTGTAGAATTGCTTGCTGGGAAAATGGTAGTGCAGGCTCTTCCTGATGAAGGGCAGCCAGTGTGGCGAGCAGCATTGGGGCCAGAAACGGCATTGGAATTTGAGAAAGTTCTGCTGCATGCACTGAAACAAGGTTTTTCCACTATGTGCTCTGTGAAGAAAATGAAAATCAATCACGTTGCAGCATGCTCCAAATGGCCACTACGAATGTATCTGCGGTTACAGCGAGAGACAAAGTATGGATTTGAAGCAGAGGAGAAACTGCAGATACTTTTGAAAAGGGAAAGAGAAGAATTGGTAGGTGTATGCGAGACTTTATCTGAATTTGAGCTACGCTGCCTTCACGCATTGCTTTTCTGATTCAGACCAAAGCTGATTTGCAGCTACTTGCTGATTGTCGTTTGGTTTGCATATGCGAAATCAGAACATTGGGAAGTGGAAAAAAAGCGAACTGATTTTTGTGATTTGAAGTTGCACGACGTAACATACAACAATTTGACGTGTCGGCTCTCTTGTGTAGCTGGTACACGCTCTTTGATGCTTTATGCAGCTTGCAATCGCAGCATCATGTTTGTGTTTTCCTGGTGCCCCTGGTTGAGGCCCGTTGTCTACGGAGTCAGTTCCATGCTTAATGATTTACATTTCAATCTGACTGCGCTGTTGGCTTTGGAAGCTTTCCATCATTTACACTTGACGCATTTTTTGGGCTGCACTTATATCTTTGTTAGGATTGCACTTATATCTGATGTAATATAACATCTGAGTTTTTCACAGTGAAATTATTTCGTGCGGACTGCAGCTTTGATTGCTTTGAAGTCTGTGGCGTTGGCAGTTGACATGGAACCTGGCGCCTTGCGTCGTCGTCTCGATGACATCTATCTTCATCGAAGTGAACTGTCAGGGGTTCATGCAGACATGTCGCCGAACGTGGTAGAAACACAGCCCATGTCGGTGGAGATTTGTTTTCGCTTGAACACTTGGCCCCTTCAGCAGCTGTGTGCCCTTCTTGAGTTTCATTTTCTATGCAAAATGGACCCAGGAAATGCCAGCATCGATCTCGTATACCAAGAGCATTTACTGCAGTGGATGACTGTGGGGGATTTAGTGACCGACTTGGTGGATCGGATGGAAACACAAT